CTGAAAGGGCCCCCATTTGCCCCCACTCCTCTCAGTCAACCCTAGGCGTAGCCACCCAATGTGCCTGCAATTTTTGGATAAAGCTGACTTATTTGTTTGATCACCGTTTCAGACCAGCCGACCGCCACCCCTAAGACCTTCAACCCCCACCCTCAACCTGGATATGTCAACCGGGAATGATCAATCACGTAAGATTCGCTTTTCATTTGAATCTGGCCCACTGGTCATCCACCCCAGCTAAGACACTTTGCATTATCTGTTTCCACAGGCTTGGACCTCTACATGAAGGTGCAGGAGCTGGATAGTCACCCGGCATTGAAACCTAAAGAGCAGGCGCACGTGAAATCCCTCTTGGCACTTATCAAGGCAGATATTGAGAATTCGGATGACGAGGGTGAAGAAGAGCTCGAAAGTAGAGACATTTCCAAGGTTCCACCCTTCTCGGCGGACAATTTGGCTGGTGCTGGTGTGGGTCATCACATCAGAGATGATGCAACAAGGCTTCCTGCTCCCGATCACTCCCTTCGATCAACGACACCCTCTGATCGACCCCCTGTGGATTTGTCCTTGCCAACCCGTCCCAACTTCAATTGTCCAACGCCGACCCGTGACATCCATCGGGAGGGCGACTATTTTGCATTGCCAAATCCGATCGGCCCCCCTCGCACCGCATGTCCCTCGTTTTCCAATTTCTCAAGGGTTGATCCCCCATCGGTTGTTGACAATGGCTTACCAAACGTGCTCAACCCGGCCTATGCATACATCTCTGATGACCCGCCTCGCCGAAAGAATGCCAATGGAGAGACCTCTTTCTTGACAGCTGAAGGGGATCAATTATACGATTCAATTATGGCCTCAGTCAACAAGGAACAGCTACCGCCTCAGAATATTCCAGCCCCACCGGTGCCCACCCCTTCAATCAATAAACAAGTGGACCCGGCCCCACCTAAACACCAGACGCAGCGTTGAGAGGTCATTCACGAGCGACAAGAGAGGCGCCCAAAGTACCGCTTTGACAATGTTAGACTAGAGGGTGTTGAAGATGACGACCCTGCGCGTGCCAAAAAGACGAGGATTGACGACTCTGATGACGATGGCGTTGTGGGAGGAGCTCCCAGGCATTCTACTAGGACTAGGATTGAGGACTCTGAAGGCAACACGGACGCA